TGCAATGTTCAAAAATGTCATTTCAGACAAAGAAATAATTCCGGTTGTATAAAAGCTGGAACTTCTGTTTGTTAAAGTAATTCTCTCTTGTATTCAGGAATAGGATTGTTCATGACGGATGAGCAAGATACGCCACTGACATCAGGTGATGCAGCACTAGTCTAAGTAACCTGATTTAAACTCCACTTTAAATTTATTCATTTTTGGTTGCAATTGGAGCGATTCTTTCATACAGTAGGTCGAGGATTTGATTTCATCCATGATTTCATTTTTTTTGATGTCAGGAGTCAAAAACGCCAAAAGCTGCTTTTATGCAACTTTCGAAAGAAGGGTTACATTAGTGAGCTATTTCTCCTAGCAGTCTGTTACGAACAGGCTTATTTTCGATTAACTCCATCCTCACAAACTGCGAAATAGAGTGGAATTTTCGAGTTCAAATCGAGTAGTTTTTGGTTTTTATCGAATGAACTTTATAAAAATTATTCTAATAACTTAAATCATATCCTCAAGATTCTGAACTTTTTTGTTAAAAAATATTCCCAAAAAATGAAAAAAACATTACTCTTCTTTCATTTCATCGTCATAGCCTCTGTTTGAGCATTTTGCCATCAAACTGCAAAAACGAAATTTTCAGTAGCAGTGCACAGATATGACAAATAATTTGAGTTAATGACCTGTGGCGTAACGCTCAAACTAATTTTGGATAAGAAATCATACACCGTAATTACTGTTATAAGGAAGTCGATTAATCCATTGTTCTTTTCAACGATGAACTTTTATTGGCCGTGTTTGCAGTCCTCTGGACGGGCTGTTCATAGTTTGTATTGGTATGATCCTCATAGGGCCCCTACGGCCAGTACTGCCCTTCCTATTTAGCTTACGTACTTGAAATACGTTTCGCTCGGTTTCCATGCGCTTCCTCATGTAACAGAATCACCAAACACATAGCAAAGTATTGCTAATAAGCCATAAAATTAACTTTTCCCAAGGGATGGGACCAGTGTCAGCAGGTTGCAGCACATCCTCAATGAAATACTGTGACTCCAGTCTACGTAAAATGCATGCTGCATCATTCCAAAAATACGAAACCGATAAACCTTTCGATGCATTTGCTGATCGCTTCGTCATCTTCTGCCTGTCGTATGAGCAGCTGAAATTGCGGCGAATCGGCAGTCCATTTACTTTCTTTAAATCGCGACTAAAAATCATACAGAACCCTTATTATTTCACGTCACAACTATAAATGTACTTAAATTGCGTGGAAGGATAATAAAAGCTGGCGCAGTGGCAAAATAGCATTATTGCCCTGTTGAATTTCGAGGGTATCACTCCAGTACTCGAGAAAAAAAAAAACTTTATGAATTTATTCACTCGTTTCGATGGTAAATTGGTACTTGCAAATATCAGGAGATCGTTGTCTCACCATCAGCTTGCTTGTAAGCAAATGTCAAAAAAGGAAGAAGCCGACAGTCAGTCCTGCCAACGGGTAACTATTCTTAGTACGGGCTACGCTACTTGGGCTATTGTAAAGCGGCAGCCTACGATGGGAATCTCCGATGGAAATTCGGGGAATTTTACCCCAATGGCGATAAGGCGATAACCCAAACATCCCTTTTATACTATTCTGTTAGCGCGTGCATACAGCGTGAATACAATAAGGATTTTAAGTCGACTGTAGCAACCAGGTTGACCCAAGAAGCCTAGATGGCAAAGGCGCGATAGATTACAGCACGACAAGAGAACAAGTATGAGAAAATAATGATAGTCATGAAATTAAAATAAGAAAATAATGGTACCTATGGTATTAATGATGATAAAAATCTGGAAATTTACAAAAAAAAAAAAATGCTTACATTAATTAAGCTTCGTTTGCAGGCATTCAACTGTCGCGCTTCCAAGTCACGCTGTGTTTTTCGAAAAGTTTCTTCCCGTGCTGGTACACACATCGGGTTATGTGCTGGATATGGATTACTACAGATTACATCACCGCGCATTTTGATGCTCGGCCTCTCACCGTGTCCCGTTTTCTCATACAAATGATCGCACATCGAACAACGGTAGTGTGTTGCTCGCCCGGTTGTACTGGTACGTCTGTAGATTCGTACAAAACCATCGGTTTCATGG